GCCTTTACCGGCTGAGGTACACAACCGTCACACCCAGTCTCTTGGCCTCGTTCCGTATCGCCTCGCCAAGGGGGAGTGTTGAAGCGCCTAGTGGCTCTGGCTCAGCGTTCCGCCCGGCATGGACTTAAGGTGGACATCTTAGATTAGGCACTGCTAATACGTAGATAGTGATTGGACAATCATATGTAGTGCTCCCACCCACGGACCTCTTTATGGCAGGCTTCCCCATTCTAGCGGACTTTCAATTTTGCTTCCTTTTGGTATATAAGGACTCCTCTTGCATCCCCACTCTGCGTGCTCTTTTCCTTCGCACCCAGAGTAAGTCCCTTCATCGCTCTTGCGCAGTATGCACTTATGCTTACGCCCTGTATAGCTAATCCCCCCGTGTGTATTAGATTAGATCTATACAGCGTGCTCTTTCTCTTCGCACCCAGACTAATCCCCGGTGTGTATCAGATCGTGCCCGCGTGCCACTCGCCAGTTTGCGCTCGCGCAGCCCAGCCGTTGTATCACGACAATATTGCTCACTCATCACCAAAACAATGGTGGTCACTTACCAGTAAATTGCCACTTACAATGCACGACCACTTAAACAAGCAACTAATCACCTCACGAACAATTAATCATGTCGTCTCCACTCCTGATGCCGGTGCACTCGCGCGAGAGCACCACAGACTTGCAGACGGACGTGACAAGCGTCGCGTCGTTGCGGCGCGTGTCCGCCAGCGCGGCGTCGATGCTCCAGATGCGGCCGCATGCGCCGTCATCGTCTCGCCTGCTGTTCACCAGGCCTACACGACTTGCCGTCCCTCTACCAACACGCCGCTCTCGGTCTCAATCAACTCAATATCTCCCCGCATGCAGATATCTTCCTTATTCCCGCACAATGCGTCTCCGTCGTCTCCATCCCCCCGCTTGCGGTCCCTGCCTCTCATCTCCAACTAACACCCTCCGCAAACCACATCATCACCTCTGAAGACCTGCAACGGCTCCGCGCGCTCACGAAGCCTCTCCCACCTGCGCTCTCCAGTCCGTCCTCCTCCTCGCCCGACCACGCCGAGGCGTACACCTTCATCCACCCCTCCCTCAACATCTACTTCGCCGACCTTTTATCTGCCGCGTGGCACCACCCACTGCTCGACGGCAGGCTGCTCACGCTGCGCGCGCACTGTGACGCCACGGCGCTCATGCGCACGTACCGCGTGCTCTGTGGGTGCAGCCCCGGCACGGAGCTCATCGCGAGCGTCGCCGCCGCGCCCAGCGAGGACACGAGCGAAAATGACGACGAGCTCCGCACCTCTCACGCAAACGTGCACTTGTGAAATGACGACGGCGGCGACAGCGAGGACGCGTGGCTCGGCGCCGAGATCCACGCGGGCCGCCGCAAGATGGGGAGCGTGCGCAGCGTCGAGGTACACGTCAAGGGACCTGACGTCGACGCCAGGGCCGATCATGCCTCCCCTGGTCGTGCACACGACGGGCCGCCACGCGCTGCGCACGGCGGCGTTCGCGAGCCATGACAGCTTCGCGCCGAGCAGCCTCATGGCACCGCTGCCGTCGGCGCCCGAGGTGTGGGACGTGAGCGAGATCGACGCCGAGCGGGTCTTCCCCCGCGCGGGTTGTCCGCTTACATTGCCCAACCCGCTCGCGTTCGCGGGCGCTGTTCAGGCAACCGGCAGGTAGACCAGTGGACGACCAGTGGACGACCAGTGGACGTGTCAGCAGGCACACACAGCAATGCCAAAAAATAGTCAATGTATTTGTATTAGTTCTTTTGCGACAAAAGTCAGCTCTCCTATTTGAGCAAATAGATAGTAGATGCATACTTTTTTTTGTACCTATCCCAATTGAAAATATATCTATTATTCTATATATGGATAGCCCAGCAGTATTTGTACGTCTTTTTGCTGCAAGCAGAACAGCTTTTTGCAACAGGATTCACCAAAAAAAGGTGTCTTTGTTTGGCTCCTATTTCCAGGTGTTACCTATCGTATGTTTTTACCAGAAAATGTTCGGTCTTTTTGGCTTCTATTCTCATAACGATTTTCGTGCCCCTTTCAGCTGAAAATATTAACTAATTAGCCCCGTGTTTGGACAAAATGTTGGGGCCTTGTGGCGTCCGGGGGTCGGCGGCACTTTTAGTGCCGGCCGAGACCCCGACCTCTGCTCTTCGACGCCCACCATCAGTCGGTATCCGCCTCGCAGCACACATCCTTATGCAGCTTTATTCTTGAGAATTGCTGTAGAATACATCCCCAGATATGTCTCGCCCTTTGCGTAGTACCACTCCAGCAGCTCTCCGAACAACGCTGCCCGAGCTGCAGTATGCAAATTACCACATCCCGCTTTGAAGCGTCTCGCAGAGTTCGCCAGGCAACCGGGCTCCGGTCTGGGAACACCAATTGGGTGGGAAAGGTTGTTGGTTGGAAATGTATTGTGGGGCTGGGACTCGGGTGCACACATACTCACTCTCGGTCGACTGCTGGCTGAGAATTCACAGAATGACTTCAGGATACCGCGCCAAACCTCACAACGTCCGCTCGTATAAATCCTGCTGTGTGCCGCTACCAGGATCGAACTCTTCGAGTCGATGATGAAGGAACCAAAGACTTGCAGTTCAGACGTAACAAGAAGGGCACTGTTGCTATGATCTACGTGAACACATATTAGAAATACTGGTCGCGCCATGTTTCAAGATCCAATCCGTTCCGAAAAGCCTAGGATCGGTATCAGGCAGCGCATGAGAGGGAAGGGGGGGGGGGGGCGGCCTGAAGCTCGGGGACGCCAAGTCATGTGCAATGTTGAGTGAGGCATCGTCGGGTTGAAGAGTAAAGCCACGAAAAAGCGCACGGGTGCCTGAGCTACTGCGCACTTTTGCGAAGCGACCCGAATCTTCGTACGTCTCTCTGATTCTCGAGTCATCTTTCACTTCTGATTGAGATCATTTGACGTAGACAATATTCTGCGTGAAGACGCATATCGAGAAGAGCTCATTGCCGTCCCTCGCATTATCGCGCTCAAGAGCACTCGCTGGCTCTATTCCTTTACCAGCTATGAGGAGATGCCAGCTGAGACTTGGCAATATATGCTCGAGATGCGTGTTTTCTCCGCCGTTGCGGAGCGTCCCACACGTCTATCTCGTCAATGTTTGCATCCACATCGGCAACGCAGTACGAATGTACTCAGCGGCTCAACGCGCGGATGACGCCAGGCGCACGAAAATCTTTGCACAGTGGTCGTCTGAGAGCGACA